CCTTCTTATTTTTGAAGCGCTTTCAGGATGGATCAGAGCAATTCCAATTGGTCAGTGCCAGCAAAGAGCATTGCTCTGATTCAGCATTGAAATGGTGCACAGAGCGGGGATTTCAAGTCTCTGGAGTGCTGCATCATCTGCGTGGACACTGACAGCTTTTCAACCAAGGAGGTAAGTACAGCGGGGACCAGCAGGTGGGGAGGGTGTACAGTGTTAGTTCACATTTTCATGTTTTCTGAAAAGGTGAACTATCCCTTTAGCTAATACATGCAGTGACTGGATTAAATTGTGCTGCTTTGTATATGCCTGGAGTTCATTCTTATGAGTGAGAGGCAGTAAAAAAACTTTATAAATTAAAAATGTTATTTCATTTTCAAACTGTTTTTATACCATTGGATTCTATTATTTCTGTAATCCTAAAGTAATTTAGATACAGTACTTATTCATTTGGCATGTAACAAAGCAAGTTAGAAAAGAAGGAAACAAAGAACTGCTGCCAAGTTGGTTGTGAAAATAAAGACAGCTGGAAGATTATTGTCTGTGAATCATTTTGTGTTTATTACCTTTAGATTTCTGTAAGGAAAATAAACTGATGAATAGATGTTGGATCATTTGTTTTGGTGCATTCATTTTGTAAATGGTAGTTGGTGGGTTTAATGCACAATATTGTGTGGGTTTTTTTTTACATTTTGTTGTATGTGTATATAAATAATTCTTACTTTAAATCATTAAAATAAATCCAATCATGTGAAGAAGTAAGTAAAATCCATGAAAATGTTTGACTTATTTAACATATTTTATTAGGAAAACATTAGATCTTCATATGATGAAAATGTCATGGTACATTCATTCTCATCATCTGCATTAATGAAAATACAGATCTGTCAGGTGGAAAAACTTAGTACACATTTACATTTAACACCACTTAAAATACATGAAATTTGAATCTGGTGTTCCTGATTAGGTGCCATTTATGAGAACCTCTCTAGGGAGCATGGGAAAGAACCTCTCTTATTTAAACCTCAGATCTTGGGCCTGGTGTTCTCCTTGCTATTGACCTGTGTGGTGTCATCATACCATCATACCAATATCTATAGAGCTTTCTAAGGCCCTCAGAAAGAGAGTCACCTATGCCTATGGGTATTGTAAGGATTTAAAAAGATCACCAAATCTGAAATCCATCATTCTACTGTAAGGAAAATAATCTGAAAGTCAAATGACAGCTATTTGGTCCAGGACTGACTGGCCCAGCAAATTCAGCCATAGAACTGGCTGCTAAAAGAAGTATTCAAAAGCCTCATAATTTCATTGTAGGATCAGCAGGTAATGTTTGCAACACTTGGTGTCTAAGTGGATGTACAGTGGGGCAAAAAAGTATTTAGTCAGCCACCAATTGTGCAAGTTCTTCCACTTAAAAAAATGAGAGGCCTGTAATTGGCATCATAGGTAGACCTCAACTATAAGAGACAAAAATGAGAAAAAAAATCCAGACAATTACATTGGCTGATTTGGAAAGAATTTATTTGCAAATTATGGTGGAAAATAAGTATTTGGTCACCTACAAACAAGCAAGATTTCTGGCTCTCACAGACCTGTACTTTCTTCTTTAAGAGGCTCCTCTGTCCTGCACTCATTACCTGTATCAATGGCACCTGTTTGAACTTGTTATCAGTATAAAAGACACCTGTCCACAACCTCAAACAGTCACACTCCAAACTCCACTATGGTAAAGATCAAAGAGCTGTCGAAGGAGACCAGAAACAAAATTGTAGACCTGCACCAGGCTGGGAAGACTGAATCTGCAATAGGCAAGCAGCTTGGTGTGAACAAATCAACTGTGGGAGCAATAATTAAAAAATGGAAGACATACAAGACCACTGATAATCTCCCTCGATCTGGGGCTCCACGCAAGATCTCACCCCGTGGGGTCAAAATGATCACAAGGGGACGGTGAGCAAAAATCCCAGGACCACACGGGGGACCTAGTGAATGACCTGCAGAGAGCTGGGACCAACGTAACAAAGGCTACCATCAGTAACACACTACGCCTCCAGGGACTCAGATCCTGCAGTGCCAGACGTGTCCCCCTGCTTAAGCCAGTACATGTCCGGGCCCGTCTGAAGTTTGCTAGAAAGCATTTGGATGATCCAGAAGAGGATTGGGAGAATTTCATATGGTCAGATGAAACCAAAATAGAACTGTTTGGTAGAAACACAACTCGTCGTGTTTGGAGGAGAGAGAATGCTGAGTTGCATCCAAAGAACACCATACCTACTGAGAAGCATGTGGTGGCAACATCATGCTTTGGGGCTGTTTCTCCATAAAGGGACCAGGATGACTGATCCATGTACAGGACAGAATGAATGGGGCCATGTATCATGAGATTTTGAGTGCAAACCTCCTTCCATCAGCAAGGGCATTGAAGATGAAACGTGGCTGGGTCTTCCAACATGACAATGATCCCAAACATACCGCCCGGGCAGTGAAGGAGTGGCTTCGTAAGAAGCATTTCAAGGTCCTGGAGTGGCCTAGCCAGTCTCCAGATCTCAACCCCATAGAAAACCTTTGGAGGGAGTTGAAAGTCCATGTTGCCCAGCGACAGCCCCAAAACATCACTGCTCTAGAGGAGATCTGCATGGAGGAATGGGCCAACATATCAGCAACAGTGTGTGCCAACCTTGTGAAGACTTACAGGAAATGTTTGACCTCTGTCATTGCCAACAAAGTATTGAGATGAACTTTTGATATTGACCAAATACTTATTTTCCACCATAATTTGCAAATAAATTCTTTCCAAATCAGCCAATGTGATTGTCTGGATTTTTTTTCTCATTTTGTCTCTCATAGTTGAGGTCTACCTATGATGCCAATTACAGGCCTCTCTCATCTTTTTAAGTGGGAGAACTTGCACAATTGGTGGCTGACTAAATACTTTTTTGCCCCACTGTATGTATGATCAAAACGAGATTGCACCATTTCAACCTGCATGGGAGGTGTGCCAAGAAAAAGCCTTTGCTGTTCGAAATGAATATTGGAGAGGACTTCAGTTTGTCATTGAAGATACGGGCAAAGTCCAGGCTTTTTGCAACAATGTGATGTGGACTGATGAATCAAAGACTGAGTTGTGTAGCCAGAGTAACAGTAGACATGTTTGTTGCAAACATGGCAAGGCAGCATTTCCGGAGAATAATTTCAAATCAACTGTGAAGGTCAGTGAAATAAATGTTCTTGTTTAAGATTGTTTTGCAACTTCAGGGTGTAGATAGCTTGGCTTTGTAGAGTTAGCTATGAATTCTGTATAACATGAAGGTGTTAAGGACTGGCCTAATCAAAGCAATGATTTGAAATCCATTGAAATGTTGAAGGAGGTTTAAAAAGGTCAAGGCAACATACCAAAATCTTGTAACAGAAGGAATTAAATTTTAGAGATTGGAGGCTGGTTTGCAAAAACACACATGTTATTCCTGCTAGCTTCTGAGGTCAAGGGTGTATTGATTTTTTTTGGGTGGATTGCTATTTTTGTTGAATAAATGATTACAAAACTGCAACTTTTCCTTGTGTTTTATTAAAGTATACCCTCTTTTCTCCAACTTCCTAATTGCAGAAACAGGCAAAACAAAATGTTATAACAGTATTGAGGTAGCAATGAGAAATGGGGCACTTCTTGTACTGGAAGTTGGGTGGGCCCTTGGCTGGGGAATAGTGGATCTAATCTGAGAGTTCCCTGCTGTCCTTTATCATCAAAAACATGTAATGACAGCACCCTGTTAAACCATGCCCCAATGAAAACCCTGGGAATTTCAGTTCAAGGTTTCAATGTCAGGACTCCTGCGTGCCCCCATACTGCATTCTTTTATAGGTAAGTCCCTAATCCTGTAGCTGCTACCCGCTAGCAGTAAATCTACTCTTAGGGGACGGCAAGTGGTTAACTAACTATAAGGAAAAGAAGTGGTTAAAAACAGTCACTTGTGGATTTAAACAGAAAAAATTGTGTGCTTAGTGAAAAAAGAGGTAATGTAGCAACCTATGTTCTGGACACAAAGGAATTACAAAAACAATTAACCTAAAAGATGAGCAAAATCAATATTTCTGTGGTGATCAATACACAAATATGTGTGTGAAAAAAAAAAGTTAACTCATATTAAACTATAATGAACAATATGCTACAAATAAGTGGTGAAATAGTAGTCCCATAACATATAATTCACTTATGCATAAAGAAGTAAACTTCAAAGTAAAATACACTATTTTTGCAAAAGTATTGGGACACCTGCCTTTACACGCATATGAACTTTATTGGCATCCCAGTCTTAGTCCATAGAGTTCAATATTGTTGGTCCACCCTTTGCAGCTATAACAGATTCAGTTCTTCTGGGAAGGCTGTCCACAAGGTTTAGGAGTGTGTCTATGGGAATGTTTGACCATTCTTCCAGAAGCGCATTTGTGAGGTCAGGCACTGATGTTGGATGAGAAGGCCTGGCTCGCAGTCTCCGCTCTACTTCATCCCAAAGGTGTTCTATGGGGTTGAGGTCAGGACTCGGTGCTGGCCAGTCACGTTTCTCCATCCGAAACTCACTCATTCATGCCTTTATGGACCTTGCTTTGTGCACTGCTGTGCAGTCTTGCTGGAACAGGAAGGGACCATCCCCAAACTGTTCCCACAAAGTTGGAAACATGAAATTGTCCAAAATGTCTTGATATGTCGATGCCTTAAGAGTTCCCTTCACTGGAACTAAGGGGCGAAGCCCAGCCCCCTGAAAAACAACCCCACACCATAATACCCCCTCCAACAAATTTTACACTTGGCACAATGCAGTCATACAAGTATCGTTCTCCTGACAACCACCAAACACAGACATGTCCATCAGATTGCCAAACGGAGAAGCATGATTTTTCACTCCAGAAAACATGTCTCCACTGCTCTAGAGTCTAGTGGCGGCGTGCTTTACACCACTGCACTTTGCATTGCACTTGGTGATGTAAGGCTTGAATGCAGCTGCTTGGCCATGGAAACCCATTCCATGAAGCTCTCTATGCACTGTTGTGCTAATCTGAAGGCCACATGAAGTGTGGAGGTCTTTAGCTATTGCCTGCGGCAGTCTGCGACTTCTGTGCACTTTACGCTTCAGCATGCGCTAACTCTGCTCTGTCATTTTACGTGACCTACCACTTCGTAGCTGAGTTGCTGTTGTTCCCAGTTGCTTTCACTTTGTTATAATACCACTAACAGTTGACCGTGGAATACTTAGTAGCAAGGAAATTTCACGGATGGACTTATTGCACAGGTGGCAACCTATCACAGTACTACACTTGAATTCACTGAGCTCCTGAGAGCGAACTATTCTTTCACAAATGTTTGTAGGTGCAGTCTGCTTGCCAAGGTATTGGAGGGGTGTCCCAATACTTTTGAAACATAATGTATATAAAAGTCCAAATGTGAAAATGATGACTGTGCACTTGTAAGAATTTCAAACCATCTCACTAACAAATGTGCCAGTTCCATTACCAAACATTAATGCTCTCAAAAATAATAAAGGACAGAAATCATCGAATTGGGGCAGGTAGCACTCAGGATACTACTGAATCCACCACCTACATAGCCCTTCACTGGTTATGCAAAGTCAGCACCTCAAAGTAATAATGGTTAGGAGAAAGAACTAAGGACCAAGGAGCAGTAAGCTAAAACCACATGATTTATTAAAAGTAAATTTTCTCATAAAAGAAGTAGAGTAACACAGGCAAAACACGCTACACCAAGTATCAACAGCTGGTGTACAACATCATATGTTACTGGCATCACCCTACACATGTTTCATCTGGTGCAAAACGGGATAAAGCAAAACTTGGGGGTTTAATTAACCCTTTTTTGAGTAATTGTTTTTACCATCTCAAAAATTGGGACGTTAGAATGTACCGTAATTGAAACAATTAGCCAATCCAGCGGACCAGGCTTTGAGTCTCCTATGACACAAAAAGAAAGAAAGAAAAGTTATACAAAAGCAATTCTGTGTTTCACCTGTATGATATGTTTTAAATTAGACTTGACATTAAAAATATATGGGAGTTACTGTTGGTGATCTTCTTCTGAAAATGCTAATTGCCTAGCTGTTATGCTGCGTTTTTACTATCATGGTTGTTGCAAGTCAGTGGCTAATGTATTGAAGTAGAGGGTAAATGTGACAACCATGAAACTAGCATTTTCATGGCTGAAGCCTTTTTGATCCTCATATCAACTGTTTGAAAATATAGGGTCTCTGAACCAATGAATGGTTGCTAGAGACTGTATGAACTGGGATACCTAGTTGGTAGCTGGAAATCAGCTAATATATATTTATATTTTTTGTTTCTCAAAATAATTAAGTGACTCAGTAATGCTAAAAAGAAATGCATCATCAATCCCAGTAGAGCTCCACACATACCTCACAATGCTCTAAGTGCTATAAAAGAGGCTGGCTACTGACTGTCACCATCACCGACCATAGGGAGTCAGCATGTCCGAAAGACTCCATTTTTGTGTCACTTTGGATTGTGACAACTGGATTAGGATAATATTTTTAAAATGAAGTGTTAAGAGGCTTTGGTTTACAATTTCCATAAAGTATATAAGAGTTTAGCTTCAATATACTTCTGAAGAGAAACGGATTAAAGCAGAACTTAAAGCTGAACTCTGGCAAACAAAACACCTTTCCCTTGTAGTGGGGATGTATCTGCATTGCAAGGGTTAATTGCTCATTTTTGTCTATGGGAGAAATAAAAGTAAATATACCTACATGATCCTCCTATCTTACATACCCGCACAAAAACTGGACCCTGTAGGTCCTGCACCCCTGTGCTCTAGTGATCTTGAGTCCTGATGTTATGAAGCTCAGAACAGGCTCCATAGACCTGCTCTGGATGTGAGGAGTTAACTGCTGGATCGTGGATGAGTACTGTTTGCTGTGGATCAGGTGAGCATAAGACTTTCTCTTCTTCCCTGGACAAAATGAGCTCTTAACCCTTGCAGTGAGAATGTGCTTGGGACTGAGCTTTATCTGCATTTGAAAACCACAAACTGAAAACGCTGTTTAGTTCACTTTTAGTATTCAATACAAACGCACCCATCCATCCATGTCCCCATGCTTTATTTTGTTGAGAAATCACATTGAAAAACATTTGCATTTTACATTTTTAGCCACAGCCATCTTGAGTAAAGACAGATGATTCATGTAGAATTTACTTCCTGAAATCCGTCTGCCCTTATCTCAGGCATGCAGACAGGAGGATGTGCCCAGAAAGCCCCTCCTCCCCTCTTCCAGATGAAAGAAACAAAATGCTCATGAAGGCTCTTGGCATGTATGACATCATTTTGGTCTAGTCCAGAAACCAGGAAACAACTGAAGAAATGTAAAAAAAAAAAGTTTAACCCAAGTGAATATAAAAAATATCTTCCTATCTATTTACTAAGACTAGCAGCATGAGGATTGAAAATAGTTAATTTTGAGTGAGAGAGTTTAGTTCTGCTAGTTCTGATTTAACAGGAGCAGTTTTAAAAGTAATTGGGTTTTCTAACTGATTAAACCGACCTCACAAACTGCAGAACACGGGACGAACATCATATGTTTTGAGATTAAATATTTTGATTACATTATTTTTTTTAAATAAAATCAATAATATGCAACTTTATATTACCAATAACTCTTAAAGACAATTCAAATCCCGTATGCAATTTATTGCAGTTTCAGCTTCACCCAGTAATAAATTAAGAGAGGATTGGAGGTTTATGCATTTATGAGATTTACCCTTTTCTCTGGCTCTCCAAACCTCTTGAGCCGATGTTCCCATGTCACCCTGTTTGTACCCTGCCACAACCTATTTCCAACTGATGGAGCGATTTTCTTTCCTGCAACCACGGAGCTATTGTGTTCTCCCAATGGTGGGGAGCCATCTCACTGTTAGCTGCTATAATAGCCACTGGCAGTAATCACAATAATACAATCCGACAGACTGGTTGCACCCAAGTTGAACGGTCAACCTGGGTACATTCAGCCTGCCTATACATGGTTTGAATCTCAGCCTGTTCCTGCTGAACGTCTATGGCCGGCTTTAGTCAATCTGCCTAATGCATGCTGGGATTTGTAGCCACTGAGGTTTCTTTTACTATAATAGCTGATGTTGGACAATGCTCAAAAGTCCTGTTGCTGGACCAAGTAAGAAACCTGGAATTTGGTTGCAGGATGTAGATGGCAAGATAGGCTGAAAGCACTTGATCACCCTGCATAGTAGTCAATCAGTTTCTAACTTCAGCTTGTTCAATTAAGCTTTCATAATAAAACCTGGAAACTGACTGGTTTCTATGCAGAGCTGCACCTGATTTAGCATGCTCCAGTTTTAGTAAATCTCCCCGTTTCAAAAATGTAATGACCAAAAAGTCTTTGTATAGGATTGATCCAAAGGATATACTGAAAATATAACTTTTCTCGGATTTATGTATTTGTAGATTGTTCCCATAAAAACATCTGCACAATTAAAAAGCTGGCTTGGGGGAAAAAGCTGCACTTTGAGAAGAGTGCTGCTGAACACAGTTTGCTGCTGCTGGGGTAATAATGGCTACCAGGTGAGCTGATCACATGTTGTTTCTTTAAAAAGCTTGCTTGCCACATTCTTGGAAAAATGGTCTAACGTTAATGTGAACAGCAGCAGTCTGAAATTGCATACCTGGATTTTTAAACGGTGCAAGAGGTTATTGGAATACTGCAGTAATATAGTTGTTTAAGAAAGAAAAATAATTGACAAATTTAATGTATTCTCTAACCAAACGCAAAGTTAGCTTTCTTTCACCTGAATTGTCTTTAGAAACATATGACTTTTACTATTTAAACAGCATATAAATAGTGGAATGAATGGAGGACTGTATAAAAAAAGCTGTTAATATACATTTTCTAATGTTTCTATGGATAAGTTAGCGTGGCATAACAAACTGAATCTTGTACCATGTCCCTATGCAGTTGAGTCCCTACTAAATTTAATGTGGTGCTGTCAGGCTACAGCTAGTCTGAGCTGTTACTAACCTTTTCTGGGCTCTGCATGTCTTTTTTTAGGCCCCTTGCACATGGGGCAGACTCTGGCTGCGATCCACCTGCTCAGCGGTGGATCTGTCCACTGATCCCCGCTGAGCAGGTTTGATGAAAGGTCCATGTCCACTCCGCTTATGCAAAGCAGACACGGACACAGCCTTCTGTTTCTGTGGGTGGTCGGTTTGTAAATGAACCGCCCGTCCATTTACTTCCAACTGTCATCAGAGTCTATAGAATCTAGGGGGGTGATGACAATACTGTAATTTTAGTTTTTAATTTCTTCTTTTACTTTGATATTTGCTGAGAAAAAAAAATGGAGCCGTGTGTGTGTTTTTTTCTGCGCCACAGGGAGGTCCCACTTCCTTCTTCATCTTCTTCCTTTCGTGCTCTCCTCAAGAATTGGGAGAGGGCACTGCAGATACCTCTGATAACAACTTATTTGCACCGCTTTAGGTTTTGACTCTGTTTTATTTTATTGTTTTGTTCTGTTTTTTTCCCCTCTTGCTGCACTAATTGTAATAATTTTAAGTTTTAGAGGGTTGTAATTTTTATCAAATGATTTACAAGTGTATAGAAGGATAACAAACTCTCCAGAGTTTTAAGATACCAAAAAAGAAAAAAAAGAAAAACAAAGTTGAAAAAAAATCGACAAAACAGGGAGTGTTTTAATTTGCATAGAAGGTTTCCGGGATGTCGTGAAGGGGCGTGAGTAGGAATGACCGTGGAGCGGCAGAGAGACTACAGGCCACTCGGCATATGTGAGAAGATGAAAAAACCCTCAGATGTTTTTGGAAGGACTGAAACAGACACAGCTGCTACATTTTCATGTGTTTTTTGTTTTATCCCAAGTCACTTTAATGTGTTTTTAGAAAAGGACAGCTCCTTCTGCGCTACAGTGTAGCACAGACACAGATGTGCTCTGTTTTTATACACCTATCTGATAGATCTCTCTCTATTTTTTGTTTTACTCTTGTTTTGGAATTGCACAACAGAGATAAAAGTCTTGAATTTTCTGTTATTTTCCCAACAAGAAGCCCAAAACACTAACACAAACTGTGGTCTAAGATTACTAAGATACTGGCATGTAACTAGATGATGTCTTGACACGTGTGTGTATGTGTGTGTGTTCCCGCCATTCCACCCTTTGTCCTTCGCTCCCAGTGCCTTACAAACTGCTGAAAATATCTGCTTCCCAATGTACCTCTAATAACGTTCCTTGTTGGTTGTCGAGAAGACCTGGTAGCCTTCAAGCCAGGTGTAATGTACAGCGCTGAGCAAACTGTTGGCGCTATATAAATGCTGTGTAATAATAATAATAATCC